AAATATATTCGTAGAGGGGCTAAAACGAACCTAAAGATCGGCTCGAAAGTATGTAATTTATCGCAAGTGCTCACGCTGATTCGCAAATTTGTTGACAAACTTTTACCGTCGTCATTCGTGTTTAAACTGCCCACTGTATTTAATTAGTCAGTATTGCATTTTGTGGGCAAAGTATGAAAATAGGTGCATCTGGCCAGATCGGATTTGTGAATATTTTCAGGCCAACCGATATATCAAAAGTATACGGAGAACGTTGAACTTTTATATCTGACACTTAACTCTGTGTTTCAAAAAATAATGAGGCTACATAGGCCATAGCTCCACCGTGGACGACGCACGGCGCACGCAGCTCGGCGTAGACTCCACTCCCTACTCTCTCTAGTCTTAGTACTACAGACTACAGACTACAGTCAACAATGTACAGCCTACATAATACATAAATACAAACACTCTCTTCAACTCTAGTTAGATGCTACAGTGAGTGCGCACTATTTTAGAAGTATGTAGTGAGCAGTTGAGCACTATTTTTAAATAAAAAAATAACTAGTCTACTGAGCAGCGAGGTTTTAGGGTTTAGGTTTTAGGGTTTTGGGTTCTTTTATATATCGAATAAATATACGTTTACGATCAACTTTTATTCTATATGCTTTCCTTTGTATGCTTATAGGTAAAACTTGCGGGTCTAAATACCAACCCAGCTTGTGACTCGTCCAGGTCTCGTCCCACCGCTATGGAAATCCTGGTGCATTTTACTGAAAAAGACATTCAAATTAAGTTTTTGTATAGAAATATTTAAAATATAAAGAAAATCAGGGTTAAAATATCATTTTTTTAGCATACCCCGGCTCATTTGTCTGGGGTATACATAGAGTATACCTATGGAGTCACCCAAAAGATCCTAAATTCCAAATTGAACCAGATATTAAAAATAGCCTAAACATTTATGTCTAAAAATTCCAAGGCACCCGGATTCGCATATGCCATTTTCTAATTTTTGGTAAAATATTCCGTGGTCATCACTAGTCAGTTAAATGAATATTTTATGTATTTAATATTTATGATCAGTTCATCTAGTAGAGAGTATTTAGAGACTCTCTAGAGAGAGAGAGAGTCTAGTAGAGACCTTTATTTCTCGTGTATATACGACAATCAGTCAATCTATCACACAAACAATGGCCTCGGTCGTTTTTTAAAAGGTGACACGGCGCACAGTGAGTCTGTGACAGTGACAGCGATCAGCAGATCACTGATCAGTTTATTGTATTTATTTACTCTCTTTGTCGCTCGTAGGTAGGCTCTCAGGAGTCAGCACTCAACCTCTCTTTCGCTCTCAGAGCAAGACTGAGAGTCACCGACTCACCGCGGTCCTAAGAAGAGAGAGGACAATTCAGAATAGCCAGAGCCAGTAGCCAGTAGCCCCAGTACACTCACAGTCAGAGAGTTAAAGAATTTTGACGACTACGTTCCGAACTGCCGAGTGAAATATGTAGTGTGAAAAATACGAATTCCGAGGCGAGCGGAGTCAAATCACTATTCCCAGCCCGGCTGCCGCCTGCCGGCTGGGCAATACTCAATAGTGAATACACTATACAGAGCGATAGACGACTTCTCTCTCCACTACATTAGCTCAAAGCTCATAAAAAATAGTAATTTAGTGACTGAATTTTATGTAGTGCCGAATACAAAATTGACTGTAAAATACACACATTTAATGCTTATCATAGCCATCATTTAGCTGTATTGAGCTGTAACTTGTTGTGTTATGTCGTTCTCAACCAGAAGCCGAGTCTCTACTCTACTCTCTAGCTACTCTACTCTACTCTCTACGTTATTATATTTAGAAAAAACAGATCTGATTTTTGTTTTACGTTCATAGCATTCCATTTTTTTCATATATTATGTAACGAGTCTTGGAGTTTGGAATGTATGCATCAAATCTTGTATTGGAATTTATCTCTCACTACTAGAGTAAATGCTCTCTACAATTTTACATACATACATTTATCACCGAAATCGTAGCTGACATAACTAGAGTCCCTATTTCTTTTTTTGAACTTGAAATCTGTCTGGAACGCTTTTCTGTCTGGAACGCTTTTCTGTCCGGAACGCTTTTCTGTCCGGAACGCTTTTTCCCCGTTTGTAGGCCCCAAAGAGACCTCTGAAGGATCCTAAATGTAATTTTGTTTCAAAAAATAGCATACTTTTGTGGGTCCGCTCAGTGCTCACCCTGTGCGGATATATTCACAAGTTACTAGCTACCCTCTTTGAAGAAAGGTTTGTGGTCTCTGCGGCGCCCCAGCCGTGTTCTATTACATAGTTTCATACATACTGTATTTTTAAGGCCTAAGCTCATAACGTTATGGGGGTACGGGATAGAAGTTGAACGTAAACGCATATTTATTCAATTTTAAAACGTTATAACGGTCATAATGTGATCAGAAGAGCCTACCTAAGTTCTTTTATAGGACTGGTTCGTATCGTGAACATGGTACACAAATATCTAGACCCGAAAGTTGCACCTATATGCATACAAAGGACCGTATATGGAATAAAAGTTGAACGTAAACGTATATTTATTCGAATTTATAAAAAGTGGGTTGAGCCGTGCACAGTGCAGTGAATGCACACTGCACGCTGCACACTCAGTGCACACTGCCGCACAGTGAAAACTCAAACTACTAGAGGACTTCAATTTCTCTCTCTCTATCTCTCTACTCTCTCTCTCGCTAGAGAGAGAGAGAGAGGAGAATGAGAGTATTTAGAGCGAGAGAGAGTCGTGAAAATCTCTTATGGCTTCTTTTGTTTTGGCGTTTTGCAGTGTGCGTCTGTGCCCGTGTGCCGTGTGCCGTGTGCAGTGTACACACTACACAGTGCACACTGTAGACTGCGAGTGCACACGGCCACACAGTCACACACTGACACACACAAACGAAGACGAACAATAGTCCCCAATCCCCACTCCCCCCAGTGAAGTCTGCCACAACCCTCTCTCTCTGCTACTCTAGAATGTAGTCGAAATTGCTAAAAATAGTTGCGTGGTATTCTGAAAAAATATCCAAAATGATTTTTGTTACTGTTGGCACTTGGTACATGGCAACTAGTATTCGCATTCGGTACTATTTTTGTACCCCTAATGAACGAGGTGAATACAAATAAATAACTGAGTAGATGGTGAAGATATTTCAATTTTTCATACTTCAGTTTGAAGGAATTTGTTTTAACAAAACAATCAATGCCTTAAAAAAAATGTAGAGAAGGCGAATAACAATTGGTTTTACAATTTGTTTTGATTTTTGAACCGCTGCGACTTGAGACTTGAGACTTGAGAGTTGCGACTTGAGAGTTTAGAGTTGAGAACTCAGAACTTGAGACACAAATTTACAATGAGTACCTGACTATCGTAAATCTCGGAATGCTACTCTACGTTCTTCTGCATATGTATTTATAAATATAAGAAGTTCAAGAACCACTCTAACAAATTGCGTTGTACAAAAACTCAAAAAGGTCAAAAACTTTCACGCATATTTGATACATATGTATTCTAAAGTATATATTTTTTTATTTATTTTAAAAATTACATATGTACTCAATATAGTCAGTTTTCAATCCTCACATCTTTTTATCTCATTTCGCAATATTTTGGTAATCTATTCAGGCGCTTGTCGCCACGTCTCATATCTCTCAATGATATACGAGGAAAAGAAATGAATTGGCGCATAGTCGTTGTTTTTGTCAATGGATGTTTGCATCCGATTCTTCAGCAGTGCAGCACTCCGTCTGAAAGATCTTATGAGCCATCGCTGATGTGATACGACATAATGTAATCCGTATAACTCCTACATACGTATTATTTTTAATCCAGGAAAAAACTTTTATCCACAATGGAATGCTACATATGAACATAAATAATCCATATAGCCGTACTAGACTGATATGACGCGACAAGGCGCGATTTTTCTATATACACTGATTATTATGTTGACGATGCACTGATTGAAATTTCGCTTTAGGCGGTGCGCATAATGCGAGAAACTCTTGAGTTATGATGATAGCATACGCAAGAAATTTATGAGATGACGGTGGTTGTCAATATAGGGACTCTTGTCGAGGAATACTGCGCTGAATATCATTAACTATGATCGATGACACAGTTGGTCAGCGTAATTTAAATAGCCATGCTGGTCCGCCTCTTAAAAATACTTCAGTATGTAACCTCGCAATATCTACAACAGAAGTGTAATGAGCATGCCTTGCGTTTCCCTTCCGCATTTGATTCCCAAGCAATCCTGATAGATGTTTCTGGCAGCGATTGCGTGCATGCCACGTTTATGTGCTTGTTCGGATACACCTGACCTGTACATGTGAAATAGACGCGTGTCGTGTCGCTTCGCGTATAGCAATGGCGTTGAGGCGCTTTCATTTAGTCTTTGCATAGACGCACTCATAGCTCTATTGAGTCAATAAGTTGTATTTATATTACTCCCGAATTCAATGTATTTGATAGGCGCTTAATCTCTTCACAATATTTTGAAACCTAGAGTAGGGCCATGGATTCAAACCAACGCGTCGCGAACTGGCTAGGCCGTTGAAGATACGAAAAGAGTGCGAACAGTTTATAAGCGCCTTAATCTGGTCTACTACGCATTGTAAGTACAATAGAAGTACCTCAAAGGAGAAAATAAGGAAAGGCTCTCAGCTATAAGTATCTTGTATACGAGGGCAAGTACAGCCTATAACAGCATACTTGTGCTTCACACTGCACCTTTGCATACAAATTTACTCCGATTCTTTACTTTACGAGACTTGGATTTGATTCCAGTACATTCATTCTCAATATTTCCGTTCAGTCGTAATATCACACCAGCCTGCACGATGTGCATTATAAGTTTCTACAGAATCATAACAGACAGCAATGGTACGTGGCTGGAATTCGGATTCTACTTTCTTTGTCGTCTGCAGTCGAGTCGGTTGTTAGATCGATGATCACCCGAGCACTCACAACATTTTCACCAAAGCCGAGGCATGCTTCATCGCTTTGCGCTGTGGCACAAGTCATCTCACCTAATAAAAGCCGATTGAAGGGAAAAGGAATATCAGACCCATCCCGTCTAGGTAGGGAGCTGGATGAGGCCGCGACCAAATAATTGAAACATGTGTGACGACTCCGATTTTAAATACTGAAAGCAAAGCGCCAAACTCGCACGCCAAATATCATGCACACAAACCGTCAGAGAGAACACATATATATACTATGCGCAAGTAGTATCAAAGATCAAATTGCTATATACAAAAGGTTGGGAATTAACCATACACCTGTATAAACATATGCCAACCAGCCATAGGCACTCATACTATACCCACATCAAGAGACCGCAACAAACAAACATACACATATATACCACATCTATTCAAAAGAATTGGAATCAACCATACACCTTCACAACCATGTCAACAAGCCAAAGACACGCAAAGTACACCAGCACACGAAGACCACAACAATCAAACATACACATATATACCACATCTATACAAAAATATTGGAACTAACCATACACCTTCACAACCATGACAACCAGCCAAAGACACGCAAAGTACACCAGCACACGAAGACCACAACAATCAAACATACACATATATACCACATCTATACAAAAATATTGGAACCAACCATACACCTTCACAACCATGCCAACCAGCCAAAGACACACAAAGTACACCAGCACACGAAGACTGTCACAACAAACAAAACATACACCTATATACAACTGTTGCGCGATTGGAATACGTTTAGTTCAGCAGATGCCGCGTACACGCTACTGCTACGCCACACAAAGTGCCCCGTGATACCTTTAAGTAGTAGTTGTATGCACGCTCAGCCACCAGGCCAATGACAGCCAGTTTAAGTGCAATGGTCAAGTAGCTATCCCGGTGCCTTAGTTCCACTTGCTTCTTGAGTAGCGTCACGTCCTTTTGCAAAGCTTCCAGCTGTGAATAATCATTTACGGACGGGCAGATTAATTCCAATAGTTCAGGTGTATGTACACTCTCACGCACACACACACACACGCACACAATACAATTACAACAACTAATTCATATAACAGTGCATGACCCACCACTCGTGGGGCGATATGAACTAGTATTATACCAGAGAGTGGGGTTTGCTACTGCTGTAGCTGAAAACGTTCGCTGCGCTATGAACAATGCTCGTCTTTAACTTCACTTGCGCAGACGTCCTGCGCCATTCCTAAAACGCAATTGAGTGAAAGTGGGGACACACGCCATCGATTTGTGTTGCAGAAGGTTGAGCGATACGGACGACCTAGCCTCGAGATGAGAGAAGTGTTGCAGCAATCTTTATTATGTTTAGATGCAAGTGTATTCGTACACATATATGATATACTAGGGTTTTTGCATGCATACAAACTTCACATATTTATGATAAACTACTTCAGTATTTATACATTTTTTTATAAAAACATATGAAATATTAGGATTTTTGTATTTACACTTCACATATACGATAAACTAGGGTTTTACTATTTATACTTCACGTGTATGTGTAGACATGTGATAGGTACATGGGTGTACTGTATGTTGCACTAACAACTAGGCGTATGAAGCATCACAATGCACCCACCTCTTGAACTATTTTGGTTTTTGGGGCTCCTCCCGACACTGAGGGCCGTAATGCTCGTTTTGCCCCGTTTAATGCCAGAGATGAGGACGAATTATGTTTTCCCATGTCAGACGAGTACTGGTGCAGAAGAATGTATAACAGATTCAATTTGCGTCTAAATAGTCTCGTAATTATTCCTAACCAAAGATGCCAATAATATCGAGGTTTACAATGTCTGTATAATATTATATAAACTAGGACTCACAGAGACATGCTTGCCAATCGTATCGGGGTTTACAGTGATCTATGTCTGTACAATACTAATTAAACTAGGACTCACAGAGACATGCATGCCAATCGTATCGAGGTTTACAGTGATCTATGTCTATACAATACTAATTAAACTAGGACCCACGGAGACATGCATGCCAATCGTATCGAAGTTTACAGTGATCTATGTCTGTACAGTACTAATTAAACTAGGACTCACAGAGACATGCATGCCAATCGTATCGAGGTTTACAGTGATCTATGTCTGTACAATACTAATAAAACTAGGACTCACAGAGACATGTGTGCCCAAGAATTATTTCATGCATGACAACTGGCTTCTATTAGCATGCAACAGCGGATGTGTCTCAACACCGTCCCGAATTTAGGCAGGAATCACACTATGATAAAACCACCTACACTCCACCACATCCTAATACAGATGGCAATCACTACATATCCAGACACGCACAAACACGCACAGACACACTCAAATCAACCCAGCTCGGAATACAAGGAGCCGCTTAATGCTGGCTGTGGCACCTCACCGATGGGTCGTGTGCAGACTAAACATACCCACCGCAACAGTCACGGGTGCAACTACAGCCCACAAAGCCGACAGACGTTGTGGGGCAATACTCCTGATCATACACCACGAGACGACTGCCTGGATAACGTACCACTGCACGAAGACAGTACAGGCAACTACAACAACGCAACACAAACAAGTAAACTATACACACAAAGCAAGCCATCCACACCACCACAACAATACAGCTTATGATAATAGTTGTGTGCACATGTGCTAGTCAATGGGTGTGGAGATCGGAGCGTGTGCACGTGCACAGATGCACATATGAGTATCCTGTACACATACACACGTACACATAGACATGTCTCCCACTATGTAGCATTCCCAGTAATCCGCCATACCTGCGAATCAACGGGGTTAGCCATGGATGTTCGTTTGCTCGGTGACGGTGAGGACTTTCCATCGTCGAACGAAGGCAATCTATTGTACTGTGTGACATCTGGCGGAGACACATCTCTCGATCTAGGCAACCGAGTAGCTACATCTAAACCTGCACAGAGGAGTGGTGTGAGACGGGAAGGAGTAAGAATATATACTATATCTG